TGAATGCTGGTGAGAGTTCAGGGAACTCTCATACAATGTTGGCAGTGTTGTAAATGGATACTATCCTTTGGGGAAGTATTTGATATTGTTCATTGGGAGTCATAAAATTGTAACTTTTTTTTGTCTGGGCGCGGTGGCTCACGCTTGTAATCCCAGCACTTTGGGAGGCCGAGGTGGGCAGATCACCTGAGTTGGGGAGTTCTAGACCAGCCTGACCAACATGGAGAAACCCCATTTCTACTAATTAAAAATACAAAATTAGCCGGGCGTGGTGGCACATGCCTGTAATCCCAGCTACCCGGGAGGCTGAGGCAGGAGAATAGCTTGAATCCTGGAGGCAGAGGTTTCGGTGAGCCGAGATCGTGCCATTGCACTCCAGACTGGGCAACAAGAGGAAAACTCCATCTCAAAAAAAAAAAAAAGAAAATTTTGGATAATTTTAGAATTGAGATATAATTTACATGTAGCTAAACACTTAAATCTTAAATGTCCAATTTGAAGAGTTTTGATAGATGCACACTCACACAATTCACAAGCTAATTAAGATATAGAACACTTTCACTACCTAAGAAAATCCCGGTGCCAGCCCAATAACCTTCACATCCTCCTCCACCTCCTACCATTTCTCTGATTTCTTTTGCCATAGATGAATTTTGCTTGTTCAAGAACTTCATATAAATGGAATCATACAGAATGAAGTCTTTCATATCTGGCTTCTTTTTCTTCTTCTTTTTTTTTTTTTTTAAGATTTATTCATTTTATTGCGTGTATTAGTAGTTCATTCCTTTTTATTGCCAAGTTGTGTACAATATTGCATGGCTCTACCTTAATTTCTTCATCCATTGACCTGTTGATGGACATTTGGTTTATGTCTAATTTTTGGCTCTTATGAAAAAGCTTCTGCAAACAATCTTTTATTTACTTATTTATTCTTCCTTCTTTCATTTTCTTTGAACAGCCTTTTAAAATAATTTTTTTTTCTATTGTGGTAAAATACATATAACATAAAATGTGTACCACAAAAACTGATAGGGGAGGTAATAGATATGTTAATTACCTTGATTTAATCATTCTAAGTGGTATTCATATATCAAAACATCACATTGTACTCCATAAATATATAAAATTATGATTTGTCAATTAAAAATAATATTAATACAAATAAATAACAAAATTAACCATTTTAACCATTTTAGATGTACAATCCAGTGGCATTAATTACACTCACAAAGTTGTGGAACCATCTATTTGGAACTATCTATTTCCAAAACCATTCTCATCACACCAAATGGAAAGTCTGTAACCAATGGGCACTAAGTCCCTCATTTCCCACTCCTTCCAGCCCTGGGTAACCTCTAATCTACTTTCTGTCCCTATGAATTTGCTTATTCTAGAAATTTTATGTAAGTGGAATCATACAATGTTTATCCTTTTGTGTTTGACTTATTTCAGTTGGCATAATTATTTCAAGGTTCATTCATGTTGTAGTATGTATCAGAGCTGTGTTCCCTTTTTTGGCTGGATCGTACTCCATCTCCATTGTATATGTACAGCACATTTTGTTTATGCATTTTAAAAAATTTTTATTTTTATTTTTCTTAGAGGTAGGCTCTCACTCTGTCACCCAGGCTGGAGTACAGTGGCATGACCTTGGCTCACTGCAGCCTTGACCTCCTGGGCTCAAGCAATCCTTTCACCTCAGCCTCCTGAGTAGCTGGGACTATAGGCACATGCCACTATGCCCAGCTAATTCTTAAATTTTTCTGTAGAACTGGGGTCTACTATGTTGCTCAGGGTGGCCTCAAACTCCTGGCCTCAAGCCATCTTCCCACCTTGGCCTCCCAACATGCTGGGATTAGAGGTTGAGCCATGATGACTGGCTTGTTTATCCATTTATTTGTCAATGGACACGTGGGCTCTTTCTGCCTTTTGGCTACCGTCATATTGATGACATCATCTCAGTAGAGTTTTAATACAGAATTTCTTGGCCAGGCATGGTGGCTCGTGCCTGTAATCCCAACACTTTGGGAGACCGAGGTGGGTGGATCACTTGATATCAGCAGTTCAAGACCATGGACCAAGATGGTGAAACCCCATCTCTACTAAAAATACAAAAATTAGCCAGGCATGGTGGTATGTGCCTGTAATCCCAGCTACTCAGGAGGCTGAGGCAGGAGAATTGCTTGAACCCAGGAGACAGAGTGGCAGTGAGCCGAGATCATGCCACTGCTCTCCAGCCTGGGCGACAGAGTGAGGCTGCAGCTCAAAAAAAGGAATTTCTTTGTGATTTACGATGTTGAGCAGGTTTTCAAATGTTTTGGTTGTTCTTATCTTCCTTTGCAAATTACCTGTTCAAATATTTTGCCCATTTAAAAAATTGGATTGCTTTATTATTATTATAATATTATTATTATTGCAGTAGTAGTTGATAAAATGAGTCTGCAAACAGACCCATAGTCAATTGATATTCAACCAACATGCGAAAGCAATTCAATGGGAAAAGAAAAATCTTTTCAAGAAATTGATATTGAAAAACAGAACCTCAACCCAACTCACATTATACATTCATTTGAGATGAGTCATAGACCTAAATGTCAAAGTTAAAATTATAAGTTCTAGAAAAAAACATAGAGGCTATTTTTATGACTTTAGGGCAAGTGAAGATTTTCTGAAGAAGATACAGAAGGCAGTATTTCACACAGGAATCTTTTTGGGGCCTGGTCCTGACTTGCAATGGGTCAGTTCCCGGGGTACCATGGGTGGGAACTGGGTAAGACCCCAGGTTCTTATCACACGGGACCCCAGAGGCCTGGGTGGAGACTTGTGACTAACTACGTGAGCTTTGTCACGTACCCCTCAACACCTCAGAAAAGGACTCACTGCAATATTTGGTCTCACCAAGTTTCCCACAATAAAGAGACATGAGTCACCTTTCAAGACCTTTTCTGCCCATTAATATAGTCTTCACACATGACACTAAGGTCTACAAGTGGTCAGGAGAGAGGGAGCCTGCTGAGACGGGGGAGTAGTGCCTGAGCTGGCCTCAAGAGGATTGTGGCCCTGCACTGAAAACCTGGAGACTGAGATAGGGTAGGGCTGGGGGAAAACTTGGGCTTTGGAGTCATAGGGTCTGGGTTCATATCCACAGACCATTCCCTTCCTAGCTATGTGTTGGTGGGTAATTCACTGGATCTCTCTGAGTCCTGCTTTCCTCATCTGAGGTAAAAGGAGTTTGCCGGTTGGTCTGAGAGCTGTTCTAGGCATGGTGGGGAGACCCTGACAGGCAGAGGCAGTCCTGCCCTCAAGCAGTTGATTTACATCTGGGGAAACAAGCCAGCCACAAATGCAATACCTCAAACTCAACTTCTCACCAACAAGCTCCTTTTTCTAATTTGCACAGCCAGTCCCTCAGCCTCCTGATATTTCACTAATATTTCACCTCTCTCTTGTTTCTTTCTTGTAATCATATAGCTACAAAGTCCTACCAATTCTTCCCGAAATATGTTACCTTATCAAAAAGTCCTGCAAAATCAGGCATGGTTGCTCATGCCTATAATTTCAGCACTTTGGAGGCGGGGAGGATCACTTGAGTCCAGGAGTTCGAGACTAGCCTGGGCAACATATGGAGACCCATCTCTTCCAAAAATTTTAAAATCAGCAGGGGTGATAGTGGCAAGCACCTATGGTCTCATCTACTAGGGAGGCTGAGGTGGGGGGATTTTTGGAGCCTGGGCGGTTGAGGCTGCAGTGATCTGTGATTGTACCACTGCACTCTAGCCTGAACGACAGAGCAAGACCTTGTATCAAAAAAAAAAAAAAAAAAAAGTCGTGCAGTAACTGACACTGCCATTGCCTATACGATTCCCATTCCCTCATCCTCCCTAACAGAATACCAATTTTGTTCAAAGTGTCAATGAAGGCCGCGTGCGATGGCTCACGCTTGTAATCCTAGCACTTTGGGAGGCTGAGGCGGGCGGATCACTTGAGGTCAGGAGTTTGAGACCAGCCTGGCCAACGTGGTGAAACCCTGTCTCTATTAAAAACACACAAATTAGCAGGGCGTGGTGGCATGCGCCTGTAATCCCAGCTACTCAGGAGGCTGAGACAGGATAATCACTTGAACCTGGAGGTGGAGGTTGCAGCGAGCCAAGATCACACCATTGCACTCCAGCCTGGGTGACAAGAGTGAAACTCCATCTCAAAAAAGAAAAACCAAACCAAACCAAACCAAACAAACAACAACAAAAAACGAAGTGTCAGTGAAGGTCCAGCAAAAGACTCCCTTCCTATTGCCCTTTGCGGCCAGGGTCATCATGTGACACAGTTCAGATCAATTAGATGGAGGTTGAAGGTCCCTGGGAAAGATGTTTTTCCTATACAAGTACCATCTCTTTCTGCTTCACTCTTTCCATTTTCCACATGAACAGGCCTTGTAGCCTGGAGGAGCTACAGCTGCCATTTTGAGATGCTGAGGCACCCTGTCTGAAGAAGGCCTTCACATCACTCAACTCGACTACCGGGTGAGCCCTTGGAGAGGCTTCCCGGCCTCTGCTCTTCAAACCAAAGTACTACAGGGGACATGAGTCCCAGAGTTACAGGACCCCAGCTATGGTTCATGTGTAAAGGGAACCATTAGGTAACCAGTGGAAATGATAAAGAAGATCTATATTTACAGATGTGGAAAGATGTTCGTGGTATATTGTTAAATTTAAAAAGCTGTTTAAAAGTAGGTTTTGGATCAAGTGAGATGACTCACTTATACTTTTAGTATAAGTATGTCCCACGCAGTATTTGGAACATACTTGTACTAAGCGGTTTCTCCCTCCATTAGCACATCCCAAGCATCCAGGCAGCTGCTGGCCTCCAGCAACCCGGCATTCTAGTTGTGTGGGAGTGGGGTGTGGCGTGAACCCTGTGGGCTACCACTGCACTGACCTGCTTCTTCATAAATTAGTATTTGTATTTGTGGTAAACCCAGTGACACAGGGAAGATGACATACAAAAAGGGCAGGACTTGAGAAAGGTTAAGCTGCAGGCTCCCTGCCCACAAAACAGGGTGTGAAAGGCATCTGAGCAGCTGCCCCACCATGGTTACCTGGGCCCTCCTTCTCCTTGCAGCCATGCTCCTGGGCAACCCAGGTAAGGCCTTCCCCTCGGGATCGATCCTGATGGCCCACCCAGCCTTGCACTCTCAGGCTGGCTGAACCCGGAGCATGGACTCTGTGGGCACCCAGGTGCCCCTGCCTCTCCCCAGCCTTCTCCCACATCATGGAGACCTGGCCCTCCCCTCAGAGCCAGGCTTAGCCCAGTGTGTTGCCCAGCCTGTCAGTGGCCTGGCCAACGAGGAGAGACAGGCCAGGGATTCTGGTCCTAACTCTACTGGCCACACTGTGTGGCCTGAGACCCCCCGTTTCCCTCCCAAGGCCCTGCCTCCGCATCTGTGTGGTGAAGGCCATTGGCCTTCATCGGTGGATCTGCGTTTCCTCAGGCCTACACTGTCTAGGATTGTGCAGGGCTGGTGAGAGAACGGGGTCTCTTCCCTGCTCAAGGCAGACTTCCTGCCCCCTGCACCCTGCTGTCTCCCAGGCCTTGGGGTCAGTGTGAGCCCCAAGGGCAAGGACACTTCTGGAAGGGAGAGTGGATTTGGCTGGGCCATCTGGCTGGAAGGTAAAAAAAGAAAATCTCTTGAAAGGAGATTGAGGGAAGTTTCTAGACAAACTGACCCCCAAATCTGTGTTGCTGGCAGAACAGAGGAGAAGAGAAAGTCTTGCCGCCCTCCTGGCTTTCTAGAAGGAAAGTGAGAACATGTGTTTGTGCTGAGAGTGGGTCAGAGCGGCTCCAGGGCAAAGCATGTGGACAGGTATCCTGGCCCCTTGCAAGGCCCAGCCCCTGTCCGAGGCCCTGGCCACCTCCTGGACTCCCACCAGCCAGGAGAATGGGTTTTCCCTCTCCTTCCACCTGCGGAGGGGAAGCTGAAGTGCCTTCTTCCTCAGGTTTGGTCTTGTCTCGTCTGAGCCCTGAGTACTATGAAGTGGCAACAGCCCACCTGTGTGACAAGGAGCAATCCTGCCCGTGCCTGGCCCAGGAGGGCCCCCAGGTACATGTTGGCTCTCTGCTCACCTGCCACAGTCCCTCTCCTTTCCCTCCTCCCTGGGTGGCTCCTGGGGTGAGGGCTGGAGCTCTCTAATGGTCAGGAGGTGGGAGTGGAGGCTGGGCTGTTTCTGACGATGCTGGTTTTGTCGAATTCATGTCTGGCCAGGAGGGTTACAGATACCTGGTAGACTGTCCCAGGAGGATCCTCCGGGGTCTCACCCTCTAAAGAGCCTGGGGCTGCAGAACCCAAATAGGTAGACTCCCCTGGGAGTTCCTCAATAGGAGAGGGGCAAGTGCAGGGCTGGGAAAGTACTGGGGGTGTGGGAGGCTGTTTCTGGGGTGTCTCAGAGCCTCTAAGACAAGCAAAAAGGCAGGCAGGGTCCAGGCAGCCAGTTCAGGCCTTCAGTGTATCCATGCTCTGGGAAGAGATCACGGACATTCCTGCCAGCCTCAGAAACACCAAGGGCCCCTTTCTTGGTCACTTTCACGCACTCCCAGAATGTCTGAGAGACCATGATAGGGGCTTTCTTTCCTGACAGGGTGACCTGTTGATCAAAATGCAGGAGCTGGGCTTCGACTGCAAGATCTGTCTGAGGATAATCCAGACACTGAAAGCTATGGTGAATGAGCCCACCCAGGTGAGGCCGAGGGGCTACAGAGCCTCCTGTCTGCTGCTCAATGGAGGGGCCAGCCTGTGACCAGGTCGGGGATCAGGGAGCCTGGGGTCACCTTGCACAGTGGTCCTGGGGGAGGGCTTCCTAGAAGGGAATCTGTGAGTCCCCATGTGTCTGTGGATGAATTTCAGAGAACTTTTGAAATTGTTTGTGACTCTCTGGAACTGTGTAAGTCAGAGTATACATGGTTTTCATCATGTATCCTCAAAGACGGCTTGTCCCAGAGAAGTTAGGAATCTTCCCCTAAAGCCCTAACATTTGTGTCCAAGGCAGAGCTTTGAGAAACTGGTTCCCTAAGAGACCTGAGTCAGGACTGATAAATCCCAGATCTGCTACTTGGAAGCTGCACAGCCTTGGGCAAGTGACTTCCACTTTCTGAGCCTCAGTTATCTTATCTTTGAAATGGGATGGATAATAGTCCCTATCTCGCAAGTTGTCGAAGCTCTTTTTTTTTTTCTTCTTGAGATAGGATCTTACTCTTAAACCCAGGCTGGAGTGCAGTGGTGTGATCTCGGCTCACTGCAACCTCTGCCTCCCTGGCCCAAGCAATTCTCCTGCCTGAACCTCCCAAGTAGCTGAGACTCCAGGTGTGCACCACCACGCCCAGCTAATTTTGGTACTTTTGTAGAAACAGGGTCTCACTGTGCTGCCCAGGCTGGTCTCCAACTTCTGAGCTGAAGCAATCCACCTGCCTTGGCCTCCCAAAGTGTGGGATTACAGGTGTGAGCCACTGCACCTGGCTGCTGAAGCTTTTTAAAAGAGCTGAGGGCTGGGATGTGCTTAGCTCCACATCCAGCACTGAGTGAATGCTTAACAAATGACTGCGTTACTACCAAGAATTACTGTTTCACTCTCCCTCCTTCCCTCTCCTCTGCTCCCCCAAACTTCTTAGCATCCTGGCACTGCAGGGTCACACTTAGCCCTGGATACCCAGATTCATCCTCCCCCCTGGGATGGCATAAAAGAGACTTTAAAACCAAATGAGCCAAGACTCCAAGCTCTAACCACACCTCCCACCCCCACCAGTCTTCTCTATGCACCCCCTCTGGCTGTAGCCCCCAGCCAGGTCCTGGACCCAGGTAGCTACATGGCAGAGCATTTAATGTGTGCCTGGCAGCCACGGGCACCATTCTCCACACAGAAGGCAGGGGACAGGTGGACAAGGGGCTGAGACCTCAGCAGGGCTAACTGTCCTTGTCTCAGGAGCCCTACCTGACCAGGCTTGGGCCAGGCCTTGGAGAGTGGGAGTTGGGGCCCAGCCCTGTGTCTACAGTCTCTGGCTCCATGGGCACCAGGCGCCAGTTCCTCGCACCTAGTACTCCCATTGCTAGGGCTGCTGGAACCTGCAGGGTGGCAGAGCTGCGCAGGACTCACCCTATAACCATGTCCACTGTGGTTCTGCTGCTGCAGAGAAGCATCTCCAATGCTGAGGCCCGTGTGTGTAGGATGGTGAGGTCACAATGGCGCGACGTCTGCAAAAATTTCATGAGGAGGTATCAGCCTAGAGTTACCCAGGGCCTCCTGGCCGGAGAAACTGCCCAGAAGATCTGTGTGGACCTCAGGTTGTGTGAACCTTCTATGGGTGAGTGCAGAGGTGACAGCAGGGATGCCTCCTGAGGGGTGGAGACAGTTTCCCCCAGGATACATCAAAGCTGCCTTCTTAGGACACATTACTCCCCCATCTCCCAGCACGGGAAAGTGTGGAGAATTGAGCAGATGGACTTTAGCTAGAAATGTTTGAGAAATACTGATTAGAGCTTGGGCTTCAGACACAGGTGGTCGTGGAGTAAAATCTGGTCTCCATCTCTCCCTGGCTGTGTGACCTTAAGCAAATAACTTGACCTCTCTGAGCTTCAGTTTCTTCATCTGTGAAGGGGAGATAGCAATCCTGATTTTTGAGATTGGAATGAGAATTGAAGGAGGTCACCGTGTGTGTAGACCTGACCCTGGAGAAATGTCCTCAGACTGAGGCTATTCAAGGTCATCAGACCCTCAGTCAAACTCCAATCCCCAGCCCAGCATGGGCCCCTGGGGTCGGGAACTGGGGCCACACCCTCCCCCACAATTCTGGGTCCTGAGAGCTGGGCTAGGGAACCCTTCAGGCAGGGGAGTGTGACGCCTTTCCCTCCATGACTGCCCAGGCTGTGCCTGGAGAGAACAGGACTCGGCTGTAGGAAGTGGGGCCAGAAAGGGGCCTTGGTGATTGGCTTTGGCAACTCAGCTGGCACTTGCCAATGCTCTGGGATTCTGTGCTAGCAGATCGGGGGTCCCCACCATTTCCTGTCATTGGAGCTTGTGACTTTTCTATTCAAGGCCCCACAATCTGCTCAGGCTGCCGACTGGCTTCCAGGATGTGCCACTGGGTGTGTTCAGTAGGGACAGGTGGCTGCCAGACCTTAAGCAAGTAACATTCTGAGTGCCTGCTTCCCCATGGGGACCCACCACATCTGCCCACAGCTGGCTGTTCTCTCCGCTCCAGGTTCCCTCTGAGCCCTCTCACCCTGTCCTGTGGAAGAAGCACAGGCTCCTGTCCTCAGATCCCGGGAACCTCAGCAACCTCTGCCGGCTCCTCGCTTCCTCGGTCCAGAATCCACTCTCCAGTCTCCCTTCCCCGACTCCCTCTGCTGCGCTCCCCTCTCAGGAGAATAAAGTGTCAAGCAAGATTTTAGCCGCAGCTTCTTCTCCTTTGGTGGATTTGAGGGCTGGGTGTCAGTGGCATGCTGGGGTGAGCTGTGTAGTCCTTCAATAAATGTCTGTCGTGTGTCCCATACACTGTTGTAGATGCTACGGATTTAGCGATGAACGAGACAACCTTAACAGCATTCACACAGTTAATGCTTACTGAGCACTCACCACAGCCATGCGTTATTCTGAGAGGCCGGGGCACACAGTGGCTATGTCCCCAGAAGCTCTCAGACCAGTGGGGGAGACCAGCAGCGTTAGAGGTTTTTTTTGTTTTGTTTTTGGTGAAAAGGAACAGAAACCCATCTTTTTGCTTCTTGCCACAGGCAGTCTTCCTTTGCTGTTTCGGGGGAGTGTATCATTTAGGGCCCTTTTGGTTGCAAGCAACAGAAGTCTCAGCCCATTCTGGCCTAATTAAAAAAGGTAATTTACTGGTTCAAATAACCAGTCCACAGATATGTTCAGGCACAGAATGATCCAGAAATGTGTGGCGTCACCAGAGCCCCAGTCCTGTTTTATTGCACTTTTTCATTCTCCCCACCTCTGTATATTGAAATTGTGTTCAGGTTCGCTTCTCTCTTGGCAGCAGAAATGGCTTCATCAGGTCCACACTTCACCATCTTTACAGCGCATCCATCAGAGGGAGAGCGAGCTCCCTTGGAAAGCGATAGGAAGCTTCTTTCCCAGAAGGCCTATCAGCTGTCTCCTCAGTTCTCATTGGCCAGTTCTCACACGTCATTTGCCCACCCTCAGACCAGTCACTGTGTCCTGGAGAATAATGGGGTACACTGATTGGCTCACGCTAAGCAGGGCATACCCCTGGGGCTGAGGTGGGGTCCATCTCAACCCAATCACTTGGTTGACAATAAACATTAAAATCTGGGCTGCTGTTGGTGGGAAGAGGGAAAAATGGATGCTGGCCACCCAAGGAGTATGGTGTGTTATTCCGGATTCAATCAAAGAAGCTGTTCAAGGGGACTACCTGTGGCCAAATCTGGGGCTATTTGAGCCTCAGAATAGATAATGACAAGAACAGATTGTAATCCGTTGATTAAAGTAGAATCCATGAGTTCATATAAATACAAATAATACATGAATAAATAAACAAGGGAAAAGGAAACGTGCTACCTTACGATACAATCACAGTTAATAAATGTAGACCTAGTTGCAGAGTATATCCTACTAACATATTTAGTATAGTGAGTATATCAAATACTAACTTGATTTTTAAAAAGTATTTATTTATTTATTTAATTATTCTTTTAGAGACAGAGTCTCACTTTGTCTCCCAGGTTGGAGTGCAGTGGCCCTTCTCAGGCATGATCTTAGCACACTGTAGCCTCAAACTCCTGGCCCCAAGGGATCCTCCCACCTCAGCCTCCAGAGTAGCTGGGACTACAGGTGTGCAGAACTGCTCCTGGCTCACTAATTTGATATTAATTAATACATTCCATTATTAGTTAATCTGACAGTGGAGAAGCCTGTCAGCTGATGAAAGTTAATGCCACCTCTCATGGGGCAAGTCAATATCATGGGCCTCATAATATAATGCTCTGAGAGAAATATAGTACTATTTTTCCATTGTTACTGCCAAAAATGCAAAAATCATGAGGAAACATCAGAGCAAACCCAAACTGACATTTTAC